GCAATAAAAAGTCAGAAAAACGTTAACTGTACAGTCTATAAGACTATTTAAGACTTTTTGCAGGAATGAACAGGACAAATGCTAGTCATGAGTTGTTAGTCATGCTGCCAAGAGCAATGTTTTTACTTGGAAGCGTGACCTGTGTTGCAAGAATCACTGACCTTCTTAGCTGCCTTCAAGATTGTCTTTTGGCACAAATACATAGAAGCAAGCCTGGTTCTTTGTCCTCTTGCAAGGCCACAGTGAAGTCTATTACCAATAAAAGCCTTTCAAAAACATATAGCATCTTACGATGCTTCGCTGGGAAGAAAATAATTGTCATGAAGGAAGACTATGTTGACTATGTTTTCACAAAGAGAATGGTGGAATTTAGTCAGCAAGTACTCAATGCATTGTCCCCTGTTTCACCAAACTTATTTTGGGTTTTTAATTCCAAGTTCACTTTTATAGGCAAAGATTATTTATTCAGCTTGAAATCAGAGAGATCCAAATGTCCAAGAAAGCATACAAAATTTTCAGTGAAGTTTAAAAGTATCAACATATTTTTATCTACAGGTTTTTCACTGAACTACTAAATTATCTTGTTATTTTAAAACACGATCACTTTGTTCTTCTTTTACAGGTCACAAAATTTACTGCTTAAATTTTTAAATCAAAAGTCAGCTAACGTTCACTGATGTTGTTTCATTTCTTAAAAGATTTATTTGCTGTTTCCTTTATCTATATGGATTACACCTCACAAAACACTGCGGAACTGAAAAGATGGCAAACGAGCATTACAGAATACGGAAAAATACTACCCAGCTGCTGTTGGGAAGTTAGCAAGGAAGTCAAAATGTTTCAGACACTTTCATATGGAAAATGAAAGTAATGGGGAGAAAAAAGAAAAACAGAAACAGATCATGAATTTAAGGCAAAGGAATGGGAAACACCTACACCAACAACTGGGACTGTGACGCAACGCTTACGAAAGTTGCACTAACAGCAAAGTTCTGGTGAAATTCGATACAAAATGCTTTTATTATATAAACCACCCCCCCCGTATACAGGAGTATGAGTCTCTAAAGCAGTTTATAACTACATACAAAATATGCACTTACAAAGGACATTACTGTGCTGTAAGAGTAATAACTACTAAAAACTGAAATTCTGCTATATGTCACCAACACAATCCCTGTATTCTCTAAAAACATGAATTGCATTTATCAAATAGTAATTTCATGAAGTTCCACGAAATATCTCAGGCTGTCCTCGAAATTTACTAAACAATCACGATACGCTGTTATATTTTGAGTGTTCTGCATTTAAGCCCAAACGGATAGCTTGATATCTTCATCTAGGTTCACAGTCTTGCTGCCCTGTCAACACAAGATTAAGTGTGGAAGGAAAACATTAAGTTTCCCTTATAGATGCTCACAGCTTAACTAACCCTCTCAGAAACATATGCACTTAAGAGGTATGTATATATAGGAAAGCTTGGTGAACATCAGCCACTCACTTGGACCTCGCTATAAAGCTTGCTAACATCAAGAGGATTTTCAAATGAAGCCTTTAACTCAATAGATTGTGTTTACCCAGCATCGCTCTATTATTTAGGGGTTTTGCTGATATTTCTGTGATAAATCTATGAATGCACTGGCCACAAAATTATTTTGTCTTTTAATTAAGCAAGCAACACTATTTTGGGTCACAGCAAAATAACAAGTGATTTAGTGTTCTGTACTTGCACTCAAAATATTCACTCAAAATGTTACTGCTATAAGATTTTAAAATAAATATACGATAATTATTCCTTTGTAACATGAGTGAGGACTTTGCATTGATTAACTTAACTACTGCTGTGTGGGCTAATTTTTATACCAACCTCATTCTGTACTACATAGTCAAGTATAGAGTAACGCATACAGCAAGTAAAAAATAAGCTGTTTTTAAATGTCCTGAATGATACTTACTTATAGGTATCAGTATAGCACTTGCCAACATAGCGTCAGAGCATCACTGCGCAGATTTATTTATGAAATTTCTTATGTCAGTTTAAATCACAACCTTCTTTTAGCAAAGAACTAACTTGTTTCTGTTACTAGCCTCCTTCTTAGTTAAAACACATGTGTCTGACAAAAACTTCTGTTCCTGGCTTTTATACAATAAGTATAAACATCATCTTAAAAAGTAACTGACTTTGCTTTCAGACTTGCACCAAAATATCAAACAAAGGGACGGAGAATCGTGCGGACTTGGCGTAGACTTACAACTTTTAACATGAAAAGCACATTTTTCCTCTTCTAGTCATCAGGCAGTATTCTCCAATGAAAAAGCTATTGCACTACTAAATGGGATGTTAAATCATTGCAGGACTTTTCCAGATGATGCTACACAGGCAGCCACTCACATAAATAAGGACATTTTCAAAATTTGCTACCATTTTTCATGCAGATTCACAAATCAAACTTCCTCTCATGTCTGTTAGATTTTCTATGTCAGCACTTTGTTGCAGATAAATAACGTCTAAAGCTTTTGGCCCGCTAGAATAACATTTTAACATTTAACATAAAAGCCTTAAGAAGGAAAGCAGCTGTTTCGCAGACAATTTCAACTGCTTTGGAAGTCTGCAGCTTTTTCTTTTAACCAGAAGTTGCTGAACTACATTCACCATCTCAGTTACGAACCTAGATGCTCAATTGTGACAGTTTATACAGTTTTGTTTCCTGAAAATAAACCACTTTACTTTGTGCTTCCTAGTATAACTTTAACAGCTTAAATTTACTTTAGCATGTAACACTACAAAATGCTTTTCTTCTTTAGTTACAGCATTTACAAAAGATGCTAAAAAAGCATCAGTACGACCTAACTAATTACATACAGTAAAGCTATACTACTAAAACTGAAAGAGAGTAAGCGTAACTCCCGATGTCTCAAAAAAAGGGTTTCTAGGTAGATCAGTGAGCTGATATTAAAACAGAAACACTGATCAATTTTCTTATATTTCTAGTAGGATAGAACTAGTAGTACTCCTCTGTTTGGACAGACAATAGGTACAACTAGTCCTGATACTAGAAACTGTGCCACTTGAAAGACAGAAAGGAAACTAGCTTCAGGGGACGAACAGCTATATGTTAGCAAAGCTCACTGCAGGTCAAATTCACATACTTCTCTAGAAACAGGTAAAAATAAGTTAGCTCACTGGTATGGTAAATCTGCAGGAGGCAACATCTTCAGGAAGTTATTTGCCTGCTCATATTTAGAACCATGGGTTCTAATTGCAATCACACCATAAGCGTTCTGTTTCTCTCAATTAACAAGTGTTAAATTACGATTAAAAATTATGTCCCAAAAAATTACCTCTTGTGCAGTTACCTAGTGCACAGAGGATATTGGGAGTATTACAGCTCAAGCTGAGAATATTTAAGCCATTAAAATAATGGCTTAAACACAGCCATTTAAAACAAAACCTTTAAAATAAAGGCTAAATGGACTTACTCCATTGCATTCTTCTCTAACCATTTTAAATTTAAAGAAGTGAGGCTTACAAAAATCAGGCTTCCTGGTTCAGAAGTTAGTGTACTAGTTTGTCAGTCTCCTTCAATTTTCAACCAATTTTGCAGAGGAAGAGATCTCGAGGACACAAAAATCTTACAAGCTCTATAAAAACATCAGACTAATTTGATCTCTAATTTATAGGCTATTTGCCCTGACTGATTGTCGCCCTTGAGCCTAGGAATCAAATAAAGCATGAAGCAAAGATATGGTATCTTTGCTTCCATTGACAGAAAGTCTGTTACTTGGCCTCCTACCTCTGACAAGCAGCAGCAGCAGCTAGCTGGCCAACAAAGGTGTGGCGTGTGGCAGCTTGTAACTGGCCACGCTTTGGCTGTTACCCACCAGCCAAACACAAGACACGGGAGGCAGCTGAGGTGGGGGAAAGTAGTACCTGAACAGGAAAGACACTATAAATCCACTGTGCACAGATACATTTTTAAATGTTAACACTGCGCAACATGGCCACACACTGAAAAACAAAACCAGGATGAAAGTAGACATCACATCTGCATATTGAGTTGATCAGTGCGGACCGTTAATATCTTTAAATGGAAATTAATATATAAGTAGAAGCAAACACTTTATATAGCATGAGTATGTATGTAAAACAGTGAAAGGTTTGTAGAATTTATTTCAAAGATGACTTGCAAAGGGCTTATTTCTTACTGGGCTACTTCTTTCTCTACTCAGCCATTTCCAATAACTCCACTGTAAGTCTCATTCCTCTAAACAAGTTGATGCCTGTCTGTATATAGGCTCACAGGCACCACAGCTCCTGGTATTCCCCAGTACCAAGGAATCGTATGCAATCTGTATCTGTTGTGTGAGATGCCCTTCTTATCATGCCCTCTCCAAACCGAAAATATTCTTATGCACTGCGCTGAGAATACACCTATCAGTCAGCTACCTGGCAACCTGTATGAATTAACAGAAAAGTAAAGTTTATATCCTATCTTTGCTTAAGGCAATCACAAAACTGATTTGTATCCTCATTTATGAGACCAAGTATTCAGAAAAAAGAGCATTAGATGTGCCTCCCAGTAGGATTTTTTCTCCAGATTATTTCAGAAGTCTTGAGACTCATTCCACAACTGATTTTATGGAGACTATTCTGAATGGCTATAAATATAGGAGCTTTCATAATCCAAGGCTGAAATTTCTAAAACTGAGCACACTATATTCTGAAAGAGGAAATTAAAAAATATATATTCCATTTACTTTTTGTCATTACAAAATTTACATACATCCACAAGATGTGAAATTTTCGTTTAGTGCTTAGTTACTAACTTCACAAAAAAATGCCCCAACGTTTCTTTTTGGAACACTCCTCCTTTTTAACTGGAAGCACATCATCTGGTCTGGATGGTTTGCTCTTCACAGGTTTTCACCACAGGTATACTGTCATACCAAATGGTAACTAAAACCACAACAGCTTCCAGAAGAAAAAAAAAGGTTGCACTTACTTTAGCTTATTGATCCTGACTTCTGTAGTTTCAGTAAGATTTTTTGTTTCTTCTTTCCACCGATTTGTTGCTTTTTGCTGAGCTACCAGGAGACGTCTCAGTTCAGCAGTAGATTTTTGACTGGTGTCTTCCATTTCCTTAAGTCGAGCTTCATATCCATGTTCTTTCAGAGAATGCTCATGTTCCATTGTGCTTATCTAGAAAAAAAATACAAATAGGATACAATCAAGTTGCTCACTTCTTTCTTTTTTTTTAAACCCTTCAGCTAGATTTATAAACATTTGCTGTAAGCATGTAACATACAATAATTAAACTTGTAATTATATGCTCAAATAGACACGTGTTCCCAAAGCCAATTTAAGCAAATAGTACAACTGACAATAAAGGATAATGAGCTGGGTATGCTTATTTTTGTAAATAATCTTTATCCTTCTCCCTTGTGTTTTCTTCTCCATAGAAACACATTCTTTCTTTTCATCTAGTTAAAATGCGTTAGGATTTTCTTAACTGCATTTAAAACCCTTTGCACATCAGAGGAAAATGGAGGCAAGCAATAAATCTGATCTGTGACTGTAATGGAAGCCTGTCTGATGAAAATACGACAGACAATGATCTGTTCTACACTTTATAACCTCTACCTGTCTGTTATGAGACCCTGATCCTTTGTTTTTAAACTATGTTTGACCAAAGGGTTCCGGAGTTGGAACACGATTTCCTATTTCATTTGACTAATTTTTACTTGGTAGATAGCTTTTGCAGTTTGTGGTACAAAGTAGTAACGGGATTTGAGATGGTTCCCATTTATAGGCTAGTAAGACTGCTTACTGAGGTCTTCCTCATTGCTGTAGATTCTTAGATCTCTTTCCAGTATCTTTACATTCCTAGAGCTAAGAGCAGAGGGGAAAGTACCGGGAAATACCTTTTCTTTATATAGTTAGAAAGCATGCCAAGCACCAAAACTGTTATTCCTTTCAGGAGTCAAAAGTACCTTGATCTGTTGAGGTTAGCTATTAATGCACTATCCCACCTGCAGTCTGTTCAGGTGCGTTTAATGGAATACCTTGAAAAAGAAAATCCTTTTTGAGCTAAGTATCTTGTTTGCACCTATTGGTCCAAAAACCTGTACTTTTTGAAGAGATTTGATCCTATTCTTCTAGTCCTTCTGCAAATACAGAACCCACGTTCGACAACCATGCTATTAAATTATTTATTAGTAAAAGCACTGCTCTGATAACGTGGTGGACAAAAAAGCAAAGGAACAAAAGCAGAGCAAAAACTCTGGACTGAAAGGCATACAGAGATTCCTAATGTATCATAAATAGTAGATAAATAAAGCTCTGGAGTTGGAATAAGCAAAATCACTTGAAGGAAAATATGTTATTGTTTGAGCTGTTCACCTTATAAAAGCAAAGAATATCCGGGATCTTCTCCTTAAGTAGAATTCAATACATACTAAAGTAGAATTTAATTAGCACAGGCCAAGCTACCAAACAGATCCCGAGAACATACAATGTTTCAACAAAACAAAGACACTTGCAAAGCGGAAAACAGGAAGCATGACTGAAGCGTTCACCCCCAACTTAAGCTTATGTTCATTTTTCCTTAGAAGTGCTGTCTTATTAAGCAAAAATCAGTTTTATGCCAAAATAAAAATAAAACACAAACAATACTTTTATTTTAGCTTTTTGTTGAGCCTCCATGGCCAGTTTTCTTAAGCCCTCCATCTCTTTCTGCAATTGTTCGTTCTCTTGCTGAAGTTTTAGCCTTTGCTCACTGACAAAGCCAGTCTTTTCTCTTTCAGAATCCAGAATGCTTTGCAATTTACAGATCATTTCCTGGAAACGAGATTTCTCTTCCTCAGAGCTGAAAGAGAAGAAAAATCTGATTTGAAGACTTATGCAAGAGTTGAACCCATTCTATTTTTTTCTAGGGCAGCTTTGCTGCAACTGCGATGGTCTGAAGAAGAAAAGGAAGACAAAGTTTGTAGACAGCAACAGAACCTTAAAAGAGCAATTGTTCTAGTAGGGTATTGCCTCTACCTACAAGGCTGATCAGAAGTAAGAAACGGCTCCCATGAAAGGAACAACAATGGGAAGCAAGGAACTTGCTAGAGGTTTACATAATTCACAAATGGTATGGAGGTGGAAAGCAGGAAACTGTTTCTGCCGATAAAAGAACAAAGAGCTATTAAAGGAAGCTACCAGGAGACCAACTGAAAACAGACAGAAGTTCTTCACACATATTTCAGCTATGGAACTCACTGTCAGAGGATGTTGCGAAGTATCTATAGGGATTCAAGTAACAATGAGAAATTCATGGAATAGTAATAGTGAACAGTGAAATCAGGGGCACCTCTGGATATTTTTAAGCAGCCAATCACTGCTGGAATGCCAGGAGAGCATTCCAATGAAGCATCACAGTCAGCTTGCCACAGTGTGCAGTTTTTCCTCGGACAGCTTCTTTTAGACAGTCCTGGAGAAAATATATTACGACAGGCAGATCTTTGGGCTGACCTAGTACAGCTGTTCTCTTGTTCCTTCCTGAACTTTTAGTTTATATTTTAGTTTTGAAGTTTATACGCACCGATATGTTGCAATCGGCTTTACAGCTGGGACTACGTACGAAGTCAGCAAAGACCTTTATCAAGAAGAGGGCATTCATAAAACAATCTAATATTGTAGCAATCTCACTGAAATGCTAACACGAAGCAGTACTTTTTTTTATTTTTTATAGAATTTCCAGTTTCCCAGCTGGGGATTGCTCTAGGGAAGAGGCAGGATTTATGATTATCAGAATGCAGAAATGACTGAAACTTCTAGAGACTCCTACACTTTTCATGCTAAAAACAATCTAGTCTAAAAATTTGGGGCATTCTGTACTCTTTACCGCTATATTATCTGAACTGCAGTAATGTCTGTGAGCTCTGAACATGGACCTGAACTTCACTATGCTACGTAACTTAAAGTGTTCTGCGTGGACTAGGAGACACCTCAGCACAGATGAATTTATAAAGTAATAATTTGTCTGAATATATCACAGAGAGCAACTTTCCCAACTAACAGTATTTAAAAATGCAGTAAGATGCCAAACAATAAACTCCTATTTTCATTCCTTCGTAAAACAATGGCTTTCAGCTCTAATCCTGTAAAGAAAATCTTAGATTCTACAGTGTTATTCCCCTTTAATGTTTTTATAATGATTCATAATTGCCCTTGCTTAAGAAATTCAGAAATATGATAACTTACTACTATTCCTGTTACTGGTTAAAAATATATCACAAAAACCAATCAGCAAGAGGCTTTAGATTAGGGAGAAATAATTTCACTAAATAATTTCATTAAATAATGACCGGGAGAACATCCATTACTTACTTCATTTCCAGTTGCTTCAGTTTATTTTGTGTTGTCTGCAGACTCAGCTGAAGGTCACCTTTTGTACATTCTGCAAGTAGATATTTTTGATGCAGTTGCTCTAGTTTTCTATTGTCAGATTCATGTCCTCTGTCTTCTCGGTAAATCTGAAGAATAAACGTACATGTAAGATCATCCTTACCTTGCACTGGTGATTGACAGTGTAGCACTGACAATGAAGCTACTCCTCATTGTTTCCCAGTGATCTAAAACAAAACTGAATTTCTATCAATGCTGCTGCTAGTGGGAAATAAGTTTTCAAAGATCTTGCATTCAGTTACTTTTCTGTCTATTGAGCTTAAGCTTATTTGGAACATGTACCTACATTCTTTTGCATTATGCTGAGCATCTCCTTTTACCTTTTATACTTTCCAAAGAATCATCTTTTTCAGTTTACTAGAACAGCTTTCAAATGCCTTCCCAAAAAGGACTTAAAAAATTACGAGGTGAATGTTTACAATCAAGAAAATTTAATGAAAAAATAACATATGAAAAAATCAAGGATCACAGCATAATCTTTCATCCCAATATTAGGGAGAAGCATGGAAAAAGTCAATACATCTTTTTTTTCTGAAGAGAGATCTTAAATGCCATGTAAAAATGCATGAAATTGTCGTACCTTTTCAAGCTCTTCTTCCACGGCTCGCTTTTCTCTAATGATTCGTTCAATTTGACTCTGCTTTTCTCCACATTCCTTTTTAAGAAAGTCATTTTAAAATATGTCTAATCAAAAAATACCTCATAATAAAAACATCAAATTTGCAGAGGGAAGCAAAGGTCAAGAAATCCCAAAGCCAAAAACCTGCCATTGCAAATGTAATTCTCACTGCTGGTTATGTATGCATTAGATTATATTTACCTGCTCTTTACTTCTTCTATGGGATTAGTCTCATTCACTCCATAAAATTCAACTTTTAAAAAAATTTAATTCATAAATACGGGCTTACTAACCAGGCTCTTTTGATCTCCGATATGATTTGCTATAAATTCCTGGTTCATGCAAGAAAACGATAACGATGATGCAAACACTTTCTCTTTAGCATACTTTATCAACTTTCATACATTTCATTTCTACACATCCAACTACGGATATACAATAACCACCTTTCCACGATATATCTATCCCTGAAAGAAACAGGGATGCCATCACATGGGAAATATTTGCTAGAGCACAGAATTTTGTCACGTACTACTCTCAGTGTAAACACGCTTGTGAACTACGATTAAAGCATGTATAATTCAAGGAATAAACTTGTGCAAAGAAATTGCTGTATTTGCAAAACCATGTTATTTCCTGCAGAGCCAACCAAGATTCATAGTAAATGTAAGATATGACTGAGTACACCTAAGGAAAATCTGCACGTTAGAAATTAATTTTCAAGGCAAAGTATCCTTTATGCCTAAAAATGAATCTTGTGCACTGACTGTAAGACAGTTGCTCTTGTCAAAATGAAAGACACTGAACAGTGTATTAATGCTTGGAAACCCACAGGAGGTAAAGTGCTACACAGTAATGAAACATAATTCTAGACAATTACTTCTCTCATTAATCCTGACGGACATGCAGGACTCGCCTGTATACAGGATTAGTCAGTCTACCTTATTTGCTCACTGTCTTTTATGCCAACCTAACATTGTCAGAAGAGCTGTGAAGATGCTCTACAAGGGTAGCATGGAAATGTTTACACAGCAGTACTAAACTGTTGCCCTTACTGCCTCTGATCAGACAGACTCACTAGTCCAAAACTGATGCAGATGTCACTATATGCAAGATAACAATAGAACCTGGAGAGGTCCAGAATTGGGTGAAAAGTCCATTTCATTCCTCTTCACCTGAGACATGCCTTCACAGCTGAACTTCCTGAGAGATCCAGCACAGGAACTAGCTCACTTTTTACCTATCTGGTGAGAACTCCAAACACTGTAAATTCTAGGGTCTTTGTCATATTTCTCTTCCTTGGTCCTATTACAAATCTATGCAGGTATAAGAAAAGAAATCAAAACCTGTGGTGCAGAAAAGCTGCAATTCATACAGACATGTACTTTGTTAAGAGTGACTGGAGTGCCATGACCGCAAAATTTAGATCAAGACTGTCACCAGAGAAGGAACCACACAGTATTTCTGCCTATTATGCACAGCACACATGCGCAGAGAACCTATGGGACTTTTGAGGCTGAAACAAAAATTTTCATACGCAGTTAGGAAAATTACTGGTAGCCATTATAAAGATCTACACATAATCATTTCCGGACTACACTGAAAACATAGAATTTCTAGTAAAATCTCTCAAGTGGGATAAAAAAAAAAACAACCCAAACCTACTTCTGATGTACTTCCAAACAGAGTTCCATTGACTGATGTACACACATGAAAAAAAAGGACAGTCATGATCAATTGTCTGGCAATTAGTCACTAATAGCTTCTATTTAATAATACTGAGGAATACCAGCCTAGAAACAACTAAACCAAAGTTTTGACAGTCTTGCCTAAAAGTTTCAAAACATATATCTAAAACCAAGAATCCACTCTTCACAAAACTGCTAACAACGTGTTTCTTAATTTTCAGTGCTGAAAAACATTTTAGGTTCTTTTCTTATGTGGCTTGATTTTAAATCACAAATAATAAATGCCAGAACGTAGTACTTCATTTGATCAGCAGAAGCTAGAATTCTCAAATGTTTTGCTATCAAACATCTTTTCATCAGTCAAGACCATACCATCTGAAGAGCAGAAAGTTCTTCTGTTAGTCGAGAAATCTGCACATTATATTGCTTCTTTGCTGAGTCTACCTGTAGTCAAAAAAAAGAGTAAAATTAAAATGTAATCCTGTAAGGTCAACTGTGACTCCTGCATATATATTTAGTATTCCCTCCTGCTTCTGTATAAAGGCAAGAGGCTGAGCAGTCATAATCTTTACTGGATCTCTCTCATTAGTTGAAACCGCCTCCAAGGCATTTATACAGATCACATAGCATAGTATTTGCAGTGCTAACAATTCAAAGAAAAACAGATCTGAATCTGTGAAGGCAAGAAGCTCTATTCAGGCAAGTCTAGTTCAGGCAACAGAAACTGCTCAGGAGAGCTGACACAGAATATCAAAGACTGTAAGACTTTTTAAAATTTACCTTGACTTAAAATGAGGTCAGCTGCAATTGCCATGGGCATTCTATGGAAATCTGAACCTAATGTGAACTGCTGTACAGGCACATGAGGTGAATGCTTGACCTGCACAAATACTACTATTATTATAAGAACTCAATCACACATATATGGGCATACGCCGATGCATTCTTGAAAAATAAGAACAAAAAATCCTGCAATAAATTATTCTGGAATCAATACGCTTCCTATCACAAACACTGGAACTTTTATTTCAGACTAAACTCTGACTTCATAGCTGATTCTGTATGAACAGGATAACTTACTGCCTTTCTAATTTTTGCAGCAGTATCTTCTGCAAGTTGGGACATTTCATCTTTCATCTTTCTGATTTCCTCTTCCTTTTGTTTTTCCCCAAACAGTGCCTAGAAAAAATAACAACTTGAAATACTACTGCTAATACTTCAGTATTATCTGGCACTGAGAGAAGAAGCCACACAGAGCCACTGTCCAAAAAGTCCTTTTTCCTTCTACTTTGGAGTAGCTGAAACAGGAACACAAGAAAACAAAATTGATGAGAACCCTTTGCACAAAATGCGCATTCCTGTGAAACAGAACCATTCCAAAAGTTTTGTCAATGGATGCCTTTTTCACTGGGATTTAGAAAAAAGCATAGGTAAGAATACTCTCCAATGTTCTTATTTGGGGCTAGGATCTATAACTAAAAAAAAATGCCAGGAATCACACTGACCAAGTTTTTTACTAGGAATCTGAATATCCGTATACACACACATACACATTTATCCACGTGTTCCTATGTATAGCTGAGTGTTTTTAATGTTGATATACTAAATTACTCATCTCCCAGAAAACTAAAGTTAACAGAAAAAAATTAACAAGCAAATAAGGAATGTGGTAGATAACAACGGATCAAACAGCTCTTTATAGCGTAAAAGGAAGGTGAAAATTACAGAAAAAGGTACAGTGAGAAACCCTGACAGATGAGGATGGAAGAAAGCTACTGAAGTTAGAATATAGTGCATATATGTAAAAGGAGATCCCGGCCTGGAAAGATTACAGAAGGTAAAAATGGTTACAGAATTCCTGATGGGAAAGCGAGAAAAAAAATCTTAGGTGCTACCTAGAGAATACACAGATGGATAGAAAGACACGAAAAGCAGCCCTAATGACTGGTATGAATTCAGCTACAGAAGGTTACTCCCTTCAGGCAGTAACATGCCACTTCATCTGTCAAATTCTCTTTTACTGCTCCCATTCAATTCAATTTGGTATTTTATTTCTCAGAGTACCCTATTAAAATTCTTCTGGTTTCTTTTTGTAAGCTTAACTGTGTGCGTTTTACAACGTTAACATAACAGAAGCACCGCCTTGCATTATTACGATAGGCTCCTATTACTTCCCCCACATAATCTCTTAAAGAGCAAAGAGAAACCTCCTTGGCCACAGTTTAAACACACAGACTTACACTATAATTCTATATAGTATATATACTATATTCTAGGCTGTATTTTGATCCTGTTCATTCATTAACTTTCCAGTTTGCACAATTCAGAAGAGTATTTTAGTTACAACAATAAATTAACAAGTTTCTGTAACTTCTTACTACAGGATTATACTCAACGGTTACTAATAACAAACCACATATTTAGCTGCATTGTTCAGTTACTGTCTCGAGGTATACTTTAGAGCATAGTAATTTTTATGGGGCTGCTTCTTTCTGCCAAAACACTTCACGTGAGTTCATAGCAGGTGGCATCTAACACTCTGCTAAAGAAATTTTGGATGAATACTTGCGTTCTAACAATGCTCTGATGTACTAACACTTCACAGACTGGAAATGCGACTTACAGCCCTTATCAGTAATTTTCAAATAAAAGAGTGTAGGGGGCATGCTGTTAAGGATCAAATATTTCCTACTAGGAAAAAGGAGCTGACAACTCTAAAGGCATCCAGCAAGAGCAGGAGGATGTAAAACTTCAACTTTTTTTTCTTTGTGAACAAGAGCCTAACAGGTTAAGAGAACTGCAGAAGATCAGTGTATAAAGCAAATGAGATGTGGAAAGTTATGAGGAAGTTATAAAAATGAATCAGCATGATGGAAAGATGCCTCATAAGGGTTTCCTAAATGACAAAAAATATACGGGAAGACAGTGGAACTGCAGCAAGATGAGAAGGAAATGCTTGTCAGGCATAGTTAGGAAAACGTGAGGCATACACTAGAAAAGATCTCTGTTCCTTTCTAATAATTTATCTCAAGTAAAACAACACTTCCTTCACCTGCAGTTCCAATCGTCCCTACCTGTCTCCTACTTTTCAGTTACTACCAAGCGCTCATGTTTTCAGTCTTCTTAGGGGCACCACTTCCAGCTATAATGATCCTTTACAGATCATTCTGATCATGCTTCTCTTCTGTGTCATAGTAAGAACCACAATAAGCTGCTAACTATTGTAATAACTATCAGCGTCCCCAAGTTTTGTTAATATTTTAATCAATTTTGGAAGACGGCCAGACGGTAGCAGGATCTGTTAAAGAAGTTAGTCCTCTTTTCTGGCAGACAGGATCTAGCTCCTTTGTCACAGAGCTGAAATCAGAAAGAGCAAAAAGACAAAACATTGACTTTTATATTCCAAAACATAAAACTTAAAAAAACTAGGTTCCCAGGAGAATACTCAGTTTGAAAAGTAACTTCAGATTAAAAGGGTGTGTCAATCTCCTTAACCGTTCTCCTTAACAATGTCTTATCCTGAACAGAATAAATTCTAAGAGTCTCCATTTTTTCCCCACAGGCATTAACTAAGCTGGGCTTCATTTACTGATGGCTACACTCTATTAAATGCATTAAATTCTGTCTTGCCAACAAACACAGTTCTAACTATTTTTATATTTCCAAAGGCCTGACCTGACTGAGCTAAAACTTAGCATTAAAACAAGAAAGGGCCTATACTAGGCAAAAGTTTTTCAAAGCCCCGTATCCTATCTCCTGAAGGGGCCAACAGCAGATATTTCAGAAAATATTCAGACAAATATTTAAGAACTGGGAAAACAGGGTGATTTTTTTTTTTGATCAATTGATGTATCAAGACCTCCTGGATTAGAGACTGTCCTTAAGAGAACCTTTGGGGTGGATTGTTCTGTCATGAATTTGATTGTTTGTATATGTATACTTTTGGCATACGCATATCTTATGACAGCTTAATCCCATATTGTATAGAAATTGTTTTAAATCCTCTCCACTCCCCTAATCTGCTTCACTGACCTCTCTGTACTTTCTTAGTTCATCTATGTCTTATCTGAGATGTGCTGAATAGAACTGCACTTGAAGGTACACTGTGCTTAAAAACTTATTTTCATTTCTCTTTCTTAACGTTCTGTTCGTTGTTTTGACTATCACTGAGGACTGAGAGAACTTATTCATTCAAAATATCTGCAGCAAATCTGAAATCTTTTTTTTTTTTAAATCGGTAACAGTAAATTCAGCACTTAGTATGGCATACGTGAATTTGAATTTCATCTGCTCCTTTATCATCCACTATCAAGCATCTCTGCAATTTTTCCTTGACTGCAAACTTCACCAGCTCATTCCTCGACCACTCTTCCAGATTTCTTACAAATAGTTAAGATCTGAGCGCAGAACTCAGTCTATTGGTGACTTATGTTCATTATACAAAAGAAAGTCCCTTTAATTTTAGCTCTTCTTTCCTAACTATTAACAAGTTATAAATGTATAACAGGAGCTTCCTTTTTCCTCTGACAAACAAATTTGTTTAAAATTACTTGATAAGAAACACTATCAGAAATTTTTCTATATTCAGGTTCAGGTAGAGTACACTTGGATCACCTTTTCCCAGACACTCACCATATCTTTGAAATTTACAGTGTACAAGTCTGAATAACGTATGAACATATCACAGTTTGCTCTCTTCTGCATTACTAACTTAAGTATAACAGAAAAAGAAGAAATTTGACTGTGTGCACACGTATGTGTATATGAAGACATTATCTGGCACTTAGCAATTATAAGCGACAAAAGCATTCCAGTATCTAGGAAATACCTTCATCGCCTTACCTGACTTTTTTGTAAGTTAGCTTCTTCTAAAAGCTGTATGCTATCTTGGACTTTTGCAACAGCATTATACTTCTCCTTTTCTAGATTAGCACACTTTGTCTGAAGCTCTCTGATTTGCTTCTCCAGGGCTGCTCTTTCTGTTCTCAGGTGTTCAGCGTCTTGGATGGTAACACGTAATCTACAAGAGAGCAACAATTTTACTCATTTAACGATAAGATCCCTAACTAAGACACGTTAATTCTTTCACACTACTTTTCACTTGTAGAAAATATTTATTTATAATTTGCTAAAACTGCATTACTGGTTTTCTGCTAGTGTTCGGAGAAATCCTTTAAGTTTCGTATTCATCATGTCCTAGAAAGAAATGGAACTAAAGGAGTTAACACAGATACCTAGTCTCAGAAGATCCTTAGAAGAATGTTGTTACCCAGGGATACATAACTGAAAGTGTTTTATATTAAAACAGAACAGAACAACCCCAGAAGGGATAAAGTTTTCCTCTGTAGGAGAAATGGAATAATTAGATGTGGGCAATGAAGTTTCAACTATACCATTAGAACAAGAAAAACACTGGTAATTTTACAATAGCTCAGAAATTCTTACTGTTTAATTATGATAGCCAGTATTGGCCAGCATGAGAAAGGGCCAGAGAGGCTCTGTGATATCCTCAAAAACAATCTCAGGAAGTTCTGTAAGTGCTGCTCATTCAATAAAGTGCATGGTTCTAAATGTCCATAGTGCAATGCTTGGGCTGCGTCCTCAAGCAGCCAGGCTTTCTACTTTCTAACATGCGTATGATAAAACACACAAGGAATGAGAACAACTCTATTAAGCACAACTTTTGGAGAACCAAAAGCCTATAGAAAGTAATAAAGCTAGCCAATTCCTTAAGACATTCTAAAATAAACATAAGAGCCTTCACAGTGCTGAGACCAGTACAATTCATTAAGCAGAGGCAGCCACACACATCTGTGCAACCTCGAGGCAATAACTGACCACAGAGTCACAAAGTGCCTAGGCAATTATTTGGGTTCTAGAGTTATTGAAGAATCTGCTATTAAAACCCACAAGGCTGTGACCAAGAAGAGAAGATGAATAGTCACACAAATATTTCAGTAAGAAATTTAAGAAGTCTTCTTAGCTATCAACTCATTTGACTAATTTTAATAAATAAGCAATTGCTTATGATACCTCATTCAAAACTAATGTGTTCAGCTAACTGCAATAACCTTGTGGGGCGGGGAGAAAAAAAGAGGAACCACAAAATAAAACTAATTGAGTCTTAGATCTTCCAGAAGACAATGCTGGAATTAAAGTTCTATTCCTTATCAGGCATTCATACAACTTTTATAGCTAGCATTTGCTGTTAAGAAGTGTGTTTTAACAGTGTTATTAAAATAATCTTTTTAGCATGAAGAGTGCTGATCTAAGACCTGAAACTAGATCTTACTTAATATGGAGAAAAAAAAACTCCATTCATCCCTAAACCAGCTACTTTACATAAATGATTTCAAATTCCAGCACAAACCTTTTTTTTTTTTAAAAAAAAAAATCCACCTAAAGTTAATGAGAGTTGAGTAACTGCAACTCATGCATTAAAATGAAAAACACATGCCTCATTTTTCCTCCATTACAGTCAATAAGATGAGGTGGTATGTTTTATAATTTTAAATACATTCATGCCAGAAACTGTTCTGAAAGGTCATAGACTAGAACAAACATGACAAAAAGCAGCCAAACATAAAACATCTGTATTTTGATAAAACAAAACTATGTAGAAATACAAAATCCAGATACTGAGGAAAAGATCATATTTTATATCAGCTGCACGCAATCTGTTAGTAACATTCAAAAAGATATCATTACCTTGTTTCTAATTGTTTTATACTAGACTGCATTTGCTGCAAGCGTTTGTCAGATGCTTCTTCTCTCTGCTGAGCAGATACCATGTCTTCCTCCTAGAAAGAATATACGTGTTACCTAGACATCATCTGAGCTTTGCTTAACAACATAAAGATATACTAGCATAAAACAAATTAGAGAAAAATTTGAGATTAATTCCATAATATCATGTCACCACTCAGGTAACTGACTAGCCATTCAAACGCATCAGAAAATTATTCCTTTCTCTACAATACCTTTCTCTCCAACTGTCCTTGAAGCTTCTCTGTCAATCTGGTCATTTCATCAACCTTCGCAGTTGCTGTCCGCCCATCTATTTTAGCTTGCCTGTATAAAGAAAATAGTCTATGCATTAAATTTCAATTATTACAGGGAAAAACAGACTCTATTACAACTTCATTGAAACAGGTCAATGAAACAGCAGTCAGATGTCATAATAAAACTGTTCATTCAGGGCAGAACCTACTTCCCCCTCCACTCACTTAGTATGTAGCAGAGCAAGAGAGGAACGCTAAATTCATTAAAACATTTGTCTTCTGGAAATGACTTCTTAAACATGGCTAAACAGGAAGGTGTGCATGTTGAATAAACATTTGGGAGGACCAGGTAGTCAAAAATCTGAAGTGATTCATCACCTTATGGAATCAGCTTCAGATAATTTAGTACCAGAAATGAGTATGAGAAATGTTTTTCAGAATTAGATTTCAAATTTTAAAGCTACTTGGACTGGGAATTCAAAAAACAAACATTTACTTCTGTAGATTTGGAGTGACAGGCTTTGTAATCTGAAGAGGCTTGCCAAGAGACCTGAAGCAGAACAGTAACAAAAAAGGACTAGAGCTAAGGAATCAGAATTCCTCCCCAGTATAAAAGCTTACGGAGAGGAGCACCCCTGCTACTCCTCTGACATGGGAACAGAAAGACAGAGTCTTTTGACTAGGGTGTGACCAAATTATTCAGGCTGCATATTAAGCTAAATTTAAAGATCAGTGAATACACGTATGATAAAATTAAACAAAAGCACATGTATTAGATAAACTATTGCAAACCTGGAGCACTAACAGCTATGAAAGAAGCTAGAAGATATTTAATACCTTTAAGAATGAACATGAAGTAAGAATTGATTTTAGAAATAATAACTAATTTTTATTTGGTGGCATAAAAGGCAAGGTCACACCGTGCCTATGTGTAAATATTAAGCAGTATATACATTTCTCTCCAATTCTGCAGCAAATTTCAGCTTAATTCATCAGTAAAAAGATTCATTTTGTCATTTCTTAAAAAATATAAAAAGGAAGATAAAAAACCCTGTTTCCAGACATAAGAACCTCACTGCAGGTCTAAACCTTAAATCATGCATCATCACGCATTAAATCATAAATCATTTGAATCACGCATCTACCATAACAAGCACTGTAAAATTTACAAGGACATTAAGTTGCATTTTGCATTTAAAAACCTGTAAAATGTGCTGTAAAACAAAACAAAACAAACCCAACCCCATCATCAGGAGGAATAAATGAGAGAAATATATATAAAGAGATTTCAGAATGGCTTAAGTATTAAAAACGTATTTTAATGACCAAACTCAAACTCAGCCCAAATTCAGAGGCGTGTGTTTATTAAACAGTAATTTGAATCTAGAGGTGTGGCTTTGATCTTTCACTGTACAACATATCTTTAAAACAATATCGGAACGTTATTAGATCTCTGTTTCAAAGCTTCCAAATTGGGAAATGTAGATACCTCCCACGCCCCCAGAGCAACGCAAGGATTATTAGTTTAGATGTTAACATAAACCAACCGCCTGATAGACAACAATACTACTTTACATCCGTCAAAAATTATCTACAGATCTTAAAAAATGTTTCATTAACACAGAGATTAAAACAGTTTTGATACTTGCAGCTAAACTTAACAGTTCATTTCATTGGGGTGGACCATCTGACCACTGAGGATTCAGTGACCCCACCCCAGAGATGGCCGCTATTAATGCAAAGCAACATAATACACTGAACTAAATGATTAACAGTCTGCAACAGAAAGAGCTTCAAAAAGCTGAAGTGATAATAACAGTTTTAATAAAACTCTAGCATACAGAGGAAGAAATTAAATCTTTTCAAACCTCAATTCTCTACACAAATATATCAAATACTATCTTGTCTACACACATGGCACATTATAACCCTTTGCTAGTTGTGTACCTACACGTGTTTTTTATTGAGCTTATGGTAATATCGATAAGCAGCACTGACTCAGGTCTCAAAACTCTTCTTAGGCAGTTTTCACCCATATTTCCATTTTTTGTTTGGGTAAGGCCAGCTTCTTACCTGAACAGTAAAACCTAATATCCTCCTAAAATTAACCTCCAGCAGAATCCTCACTTTTTTTTTTTTCCCCAGATTACCCACCAAAATCTGATCTAGTAGGCTTCCTTTAGATGTAGGTATTAGAAATATAGGATGACAACCTGTCAGAAGCATGTTTAAAATGTTGCATGGCTACACATAACGGATTGCATGTTACCTATTACTCTTAAAATACCTAAAATGCGTTAAAATGTACTTTTACAGTCTTATTTATAAGCAACTTCAAAAACTCTCAAGTTACACTCAGTCCAGGTCATACAAACCAAACTTAAATTCTCCTGTATGTAGGTGTTTTTTCTGAACCTACTTTTCCTCCTCAGATTTGTTATTCTATCATCTTAAGTCAATATAAACCTATTAAGACCCCATAAATCTAGTATTAGAAAGAAGAATCAGAATTATTAGGAATATATGCCATATAATCCACACAAACTACTTCTACTTAACTTCACATTAGAGAAAAAACAGCTTGTGAAAATATTCTTGGAGCATCACTGCAGCACTTACCATAGAGCTATACAGTGCTGCTATGTCATAAAATTTGTGAATACGGAAGTACTGTCTTCACTATTTCAGAACTTAAGTTTCCTTAAAAAAAAATCATTTGAGATCTTTTTAAGACCTATCATGAGGGAACCCACATAGCCTCCTCTTGCTTACGTGGCCTGGATTACAACAGCTCGTCTGAGAGGAGCAAAAACGTAATCAGTACCTGTAACTGGAGAGATAAAACTGCTCTGAAAGAGCGTTTGCCCAAAACTCATAGTTCTATGGGGAGAGGTAACAATGACAAAGCTTGCTTATGAGAACCACCAGCCTGATCAAACAGTAACCAAGAGACTTCTGAGAACAGGAGGATATAGCTTGAAAAAAACCCCAACATTTAAGATTGCAGGGCAGAAGGACCGTGAAGGGAGAAGATGGCCCTTGAGCAGCAGTTAAACCACGTTTGATCCTGCCACAAGTTGTCCCATGAACATCACCACCCTGCCCAGGCCTGACAGTGCAGTCTCTCTTCCAGATGCTATGAGCAGCCTGCATCTAGCTAGCAGATTGACAGTGCAGGGTGACCCGAAAAGGGATCAACATCTCAGATTACATGAATTCATGGGGTGCTTTCTCAGAAACATGTAGATTAGCAGAATTCAGGGACCAGTACAAGTACGTAACTAGAGTACCCACATATCAAACAGGAGCGATATGTAAATAGGGAAACCAGCACACCCAGAAATGAGTCTACACATCCATGCTTCTTGTGAGAGAGGATATGTATACATAAGAGCAAGAGCGTGAATGTGTGATTACAACTTTATACAACTAGAAAAGTGTTTAATTTGTGAGCATTTATTCATACTTTGTAAATGTCTGGTACCATGGTTTATCTGTTGCATTATTGATATTCATCATGAATGTAGAGGTTACTGTCAGTAATTACCTGCCATTAAAGAAATAATAAACTCCTTTGATCCAAATTTAAACCCCAGTCTTCCCCCGCAGGACCCTATTAAATCAGAAATCTAGAGTTCTGCAGTAAGAATGTAAGACTGCTCCACCCCAGCAGATACATAGAGGGGATAGAGTTACATACATAAAGATCATACATTTATGCATGCAAATTGACTCACTACAATTTCTTATTGCTATTTACAAAACAGCAACTAATCAAAATATTTCCATATGAACAGTGGCATCTGTGGGCACAAGTTCAGAGAATGTTCTATTAGCTTTCAGATCCATTTTTTGGTATGCTGTGCTTCTACCTTTAATAACTCTCTTCCCGAAGTAGTAGACAAAAACCACCCAACTGGCTGCCCAACTGCATCCAGAACGACTTCATTTTTCCCACTAAAATTGTTGTGTGTGTTAGAAATAAGGGACAAATAGATTGAATGTTGACAACATCTGTTTATTGCATGTCTAAAAAATAGGTTAAGTTCCTGCTAATTGATTTCATATCCACTTACTAGAAGAGTATGTCAATGCGAGACTGAAAATTTACAGATGAGTGACACCACATCAGTAATTCAGTACTGGTACCCTATGCAAAGAAAGAAATTCCCCAAATGCAGAGATATGAAAACATACTTTCCTTCTCAAAAAATGGAACAGTAGCAGGCACAAGGAACTTGCAAAAGATGACCAAGTTGGAAAATACTTTATTTTAGCAAACACCTTGCATAACACCTTAATCACACCTTGTTCTTCTGTCACAGTTTCTTCTCTAAACCAAGCTATTTTTCAGAATAATTTTTTCTGGGGAAAATGTTGGCTAATAAAAATCTGAAAACTGCTAACAGTTCCCCTCAAAAAATAATTTCATTTTCAGTTAAGTCAAGTCTGCATTTGTAAGCAGATCCTGGTCCTAAGTCTACTATACAGAAGAAATGTAATTTAAAAAACAAACCTAAAATTAAGACAAAGAGTTCTTATGGCAGCTAAATCGTAACTTTTTCTAACAGTTAGTGAAAGCTTACTGCTAGAAGCAGCTAATTTTTATTGCTCTATGAAAACTGCAAGAAAGTTTGGATACAACCAGTCTTTAAGTGAGCAATTTTTAAACCAGTAAATAGTGAACATTAATGAAGCTGTCCAGTCACTCTATATCTTTGTCTTTTACTGTGGATATTAGTACACAATAGCTGTCAGAGCTGTAAGAGTGTAAGGGATACAGTACACTAGACTCCTTATAACAGATGCTGAACTTTGAACAACACTGAATCTTCACAAGGATAAGGAGTTAGCATTACAACAGATACCAGATGCTCTTTGCGTAGTATTTTGTGCAGGCTTTGAAGAGAGGAGAGAAAGAATAGCTGTATCAGACTTTCACTTAGGAGTCATACAATTAGTACCAGCACACATTTAACCAAATACTAGCATTATCTGTAAAAACAGTATACAAAATTGTGTGCATGAACACATCTGCACACAAACACACATGTAGACAGCTTTTACTGTTTATATAAAGTGTGGTAAATTCTAGAAACCTGTTATACAACTTCTGGTGTGAAATTCTTTCAAATCAAAATACTATACAGAAGATGACCCAACTAAAACACAGCAGTCTACTTTGAATGCTAATTACAGTATCAAATGACGATCACAAAAATCAAAGGAAAATTTAGCAGATAAACCAATATTTAAGCGCATCTTTACCTGTGTAAATGTTTTACATGCATACTTTAGAAAGCTTTAGGTAATGCAACACAAAATACATTGCTGGCTGATGATGAATGTTTTCCCTTTTTATTGTCAGCGCATAAACCCATTGCTTAAAGAAATTAGGTTTCAGTTTCACCTCCACCATGACTATTTTAAAAAGTTAACAGATACTGGCATTGAACAGGGCTTGGCTGTAAATACAAATAATCAGGAAATTGTTTCAGGTATTTTTCCTCATTTTTCCTGCTATACTTCATGAATATAATTAAAGCTTCTCTTACCTCTAACTTCCTAATAGCCTACAGTTTATAGCTCATTTAGAAATAGTGAACAGAAATTTTATTAAAACACTAAAAATTGAAAAACTACTCTGAACATGTAAATTTCAGGACAAAAATTGATAGCTAATTACCCATATAACTGGATTTTGTGAAAATAGTCTTCTAAAACAAACTGTAGAGTCAATTCTGTTGCGATACTAAAAACTATTCCCTTTAAACCCAAGGTGAAAAGCACTGAATATTTCAAGAAACAGCCAAACCAAGGTGAACTGGAAACATTCTACACTATCACTACTGATACACACATTTTTAACAAACTGTTAAGAGGCTTTAACTGAAACCTTTTTAACTATCACTATCATGTCAGTTTTTGTGGTACACACAAGGTCCATTATACAGCAGTCAATATAAGAAGGCATGGAAAAGATGCTCAAGCATTTTTTAAATGGCCCGATTTATACCTCAGTTGTTTGCGTAGCTGCTCTAGTTCCACATTCTGTTCTGTTACTGTTTTCAGAAACTGTTGATTGCTCTGCAAAACAAGGAGAGATTTGTAACGCGTTTTGTGTTTTGTTGAAAGCGTCATGTGTTCGAAGTTATAATCTGTAGAAGTGTCCTATAACACCATAAAGACAGCTGATAAGACCTATTTAACACTGTCTGGTCTCCAAACCCCAAGGCTTAGGGAGAATATTACTGAAGGTCACATGCTGAGTGATGTCACCTAATCATCCTCTTCTCTCCCCATATTTTGGTAGCATGAGGATGTCCTGAGACAAGGGTTGTAATTGCTCAGACTTACCCTCTGCCTTTCCCATCTAGCTGCTCTAGCTATCTAGAACACCCTGTGGCAATGAGCACCTCAGCTGAACCACACATTGCTGGAAAGAAAGAAGTCCTTGTTTTAAATCAGCTAATGACTTATTTAATGGCCTCTCTTCCTGACTAGTAATGAGTAATTGCTCCTCCTTCACTTTTTCTACAACATCCGTAGTTTTGGATGTGTCACATCCTCTGTCAGTTGTCTTTTCATTCGAAAAAATATTTCATATTTGTTACCCTGCTAGCCTTTCCTAGCTCTCTTACACCTCCTAGCTTCCCTTTTGAGATATGAGATGACCACAACCATGGGCCACATTCAAGATGCTAGTGTACTGCGGACTTAAGGGCTATGTTATATTTTTTTAATTTTTCCCTTTCCTAGTAACTGCTAATATTCCACTTGCTCCTGCTCTTTTTTCAAACTGTTGCTGAGAAACATTTTCGTAAAGCTACTCCTAAAATACCTATTCAGAGTGGTAACAGTTAATTTTGAGACCACTGCTGAACGCAAACAGTGAAAGTTTCCTCTTCCCCACATGCATTGTTTTGCTTTTACTAATACTAATGAAATGATTAAAATTTAGATTAAAAGATTAATATTTACTCAGCTACTCAGTAGAAAATCTTTCTGCAAGTCTGTTTATTTCAGTTTCCATTATGCCAAATAGTTTAACATCAGTAGCAAACAGTATCACCTGATTACTGAATTTCATTTCCAGAACTTCTACAAATATGCTGCACAACTGCAATCACAGAACATCTAGGGTGTACTGCTTTCTTAACCGTGATAAAAAATGAAGAAAGGGCATGCTCCTTTATCCCATGACACTTTTGTGCCTTTTTTAACAGCCCTTGTCAAATGCTTTCTGGAGAAAGCAAATACAAACGGAATGCAAGTACACATTGTATTTGCACACATTGTACAAATACAATGGAATGCATGATTTTTAAGGATCTAGTAATTCTATTTGAGATACCTTCCAGCGATTTGCTTAAAACAGTGATCAGATCAAGCACTCTAACTTCCAAATCAAAGCTGTTTTTAAAAACCTCAGCATTGTATCTCCTTGAGACTGTTTTCAGACAGCTACCCCCAATAACTCTGAAGTAACTATCCTGAAAGGACACTTAATTGAGCCCATCACTGAATGCATGAGGTGAATGTTCCCTCCCCTCCAAATGCATTATTTTGTCTTTATTAATACTAATGAAATAACCCTGTATAGCAGGGCAACTGCTTGCAAGATACAATTCTATAGTAAGGGCTTGACTGGAATCCTACATATTGTTTTGGGCACCACAGTTCAAGAATGTGACAACTGGAAAAAATTTAGAGGTAAGCAAGAAGAATGATTAGAGGCCTTAGGCATAGTCAAAGAACAAATCAGAGCTGACTTCCTTTACTTAAAAGAGGGGAAGAATGGGGGAAGAGAAGAGATGCAAATATAACAGTTTTCAATAACACAGAAGTACTGCAAAGAACAAAGTAATCTTTCCTTCACAATTACAATATTCCACACAAAAGAAAGAGGCTTAAATTGAACAAAGATAAGGTACACAGTAGGAAAAAAGGTTATAGTAAAGACAGAAAAAGAGAGCAGACTGCCTAGGGTAGGTCGAGCCTTTAACACTGACAGCATTTAAGACAAACATCGATCAAGAATCGCACGCACTTCAAGCCCCTTACGCTCCTTTTTTACTATAACAGTATTAAAATTGCTTGCCACTCCTGGAAGTCTTAGGCTAAAGCTTTGAGACCAAGGTCTCAGTTGAAGGGTACTGATGATGCATTCAAGGTTTATTAGAGCTCAGAAAAATCCCTAATAAGATCAACCGTGAAGGCACTGGTGCCAGCAGTGACAAGCTAGGAATCAATAAGCATGTAGCAGAGCCGGCCTGTATAAGACAACCTTATTTAAATAAACTTTCTCCTTGTGATTTCCTTGTGAAGATAGTTTTGAAAATGTGACCAAGTACATTTAACACGGTAAATTCTGAGTGCAAGCTTACCACTGAAAAAAGCTCACATAAGAGCTTACCTCCCAACCACTCTGACCTGGTGTTTAGACTCCAGGTAAAAAGCCATTTATCCTTGACTCCTGATTGGTCCTTAAAGGAGTTTGCAAATCCCATTAGCACAAGTTCTCTTCCAATGAGATACGTGTTTTGAGTGTTCTTTTCTGCTTTTCTCCTATACTTTGAAGCTCCAGTAGAAAAAAGTAACAATTTACTAATTTGATCACTGGCCAGGTTTCACTTACCAACTCTATTTTCTCATTGGCTACATGCAGTTGCTGAGTCAGCTGTTGAAAGCCAGTCAGTTGATCCTAAAAAGAGAATTCACAGCTTCTAATAATCATCAAGGACATAATTACCACAGTTCTACAATCAACTGAAAACATTTTCAAAAACATTTATGCATGTTGCAGAGAATCCAATGCGTCTTTGTGGATTTAAATTAGCTCATTTTTAGGTGCTGACCTAGTAATCTGGCAAACCAGATTTACTAATGAAAATGTATCTGAATTTCAATCAGTTACAAATTGTCTCCTTCCAAAGCCCATACAGTTACTACCAAAATATGAAAACTAACTGAATAGTGCCTTCAAAAAGCCACACAGACTGTGACATTACTGTGACTATTTTTGCTAAACAAAGCATGCAGGCATGCACTCATTAAGAATAAGAAAATGCTTATATGATAGGCTCGATTTGCTCTTAGCAACAGAGAAACATCTTGTGTCCATACCTAAAATGGTTTAGTTAAACTCTCGAGTCCCCAGGCTTGAACTCTGCCTTTCCAGGAACAGTAGGCTAATACAAAAAAATCACCATCATATCATGCATCTGCAAAGCACAGCCAAGACTCAATTCCCAGAACTGGAATATCCACTAATTGTGCTGTCTTTATGCAACAGTCCCAAGAACAACCATATGTAAGCAATCTATTCCAACTCCTCCCTTATTAACCATGTCTAACCCTTAAAATCTCAATTCTCATCTTCGCTTTCAGAAATTTTCTGGAGCTTCGTTGATTCCCATTCCATTCAGTCTATCTCTACTGAAAGGTACTTTCTAGTCCTCCATTAAAAATAAAACCTGAAATGGAAAGTTTATTCGATTGAAAAGCCTTTTCTTTGTAGCAGATCAGTAGTGCTTAAGAACAAAAGGCAGCTCAACCTCAGTCTTGTTACAATGGCATGAAGATCTCCTGAGAATTTAGTTACCAATGAAGAGTCCTGCAGCCCTAAAACCTCCAAGAGAGCTCCCTGTGACACTGTTCTCTGTATGTTACAGTCTGACAACGTAACATAAATAATCTAATAGAAGAAATAGATGGGAAAAGTAGCTACATATAGATAAAATGTAAGGTTCTCATAGCTATGACTTGAAATAATTATGAAACTTGGTTGAGCACAACAGCTACAGAGAAGAGAAAATATTGCTTTGGTGGACTTCAGTCTGTTACTAACAAAAATTCCTGCTATGTAGGTGAGCCATAGTTGTGCTTGAAAATGGAAAGCAAACTCCAGAACTCTGTAGCATCTCCTTTTATGAACTAGGAAAAGCTGCTGTGAGGCACATCTGCATGATGTTTCTATGAATTCTTCAAATACCAAGCATCTTTTCCTATAGCTCATTAGAGTAAAACATCTTCACATGGTCTGAGTCTTTTCTGAACTAAGACTTCCTGAAAGGTAACCAGGCACTGCATACTTCTGACATATGGCTTAAAGGCCCTCCCGAAAAGCAGAAGAGGAGGAACAGGCTGCTGAACAAACTACCATTAGAAGAATACTGGAGAACCTGATCCTTAGGAGATTTTTTTCATCTTTCCTTTTTTCATCTTCCATCATTTTACACATGCTTGTTTACTGAATTACAACCGGAAACCAGAAACTGAGACTACTTTTCCCAGCATCCCACTCCAATCTTGTGGATAAAAAGTCTAGACTCAAAGATAGGAGGAAACATGAAAAAGATGCTTCCACCTTAGAATTTAGAAATCTTTAGAAGCTTTTTCAGAAGTTGAATTCTACTGTAGATTTCTGAGACCATCCAATGCAAACATATGATTTTATATGCGTGTGCATTTTGTGCATACATATACTTGCACTCAAAGTCCATTCCCTCAGTTACTGTCCATAGACACACATGAAATAAAACTTCTCTTTTTCCAGTCCTAACTATGCTTTTATCTGATGAATCAGCAACTACATCTGAGCACTCAGTTTTAGATGACTATTACAGAAACACGTTAATAGTACTGGCAGAAGCCCCCCTTCAGTTTGACTATGTACAGACCTAGAACCACTACAGTATACAAAGACTTTCCGGAGTTAACAATAATATAAATTAAAATTACTTTCTGCTTTTGCCTTTCAGCCACATGAATTTGTGTTTCAGTCATGTGCTCCTGGTATCGCTGCTGGAGTCGATCAAGTTCCTGTGAGACAGTCCGCCAGAGTTCTAATGCGTGTTCTTTTTCCTAAGAAGTTGCAGAACAAGATGGCCTATATTAAATATTCTATTAGAACACATTTATCTTCATATACCATTCTCTAAAAAGATAGGTCTTAACCTTTAAAGAAAGGTTGTCTTCCGTACTTTGCACTGGTTTTGCAACCACAGGAAATACTAAATTCAGAGACCGATAAACAAAGATGCTTACAGGTTAAAATTCCATCTAGAAGTGAATTACAGTTTTTTCCATAATACTTAACAGCTCTTTTCAGAAGCTGAACTCCACTAAAGTTATGAAACTGTCCAATTCAAGCCTTCAGAGATATTTATACTGTAGGGTCATGGTATATACCATACTCATTTTTCCAAGTCCAGCCTTCAAACTAACTTAAATTTAATCCTGTGCAACGGGATTAATGTATCATTGTAATAACTTCAGGAAATTCAGGTGATGCTTATAGCTTTAAATATTAACTTCTGTATTCCACATATGGTTGTCTCGTTTCACATTACAATGTTTTTGATCAAATCTGCTAGTCACAATGACAAGCTACCACAGTAACTAAACAGAACTTTATTTCTTGGTTAGGAATTCAACATTAGAAAAGTCAACTGAGTAACCACAGGCATAAAATAATATAAAAATCTTCCTGAGCGTACAAAATCAGCAATTCTTTTCAAGTCGAAGTCAAAAGTGTAAGTGCTTGTTTTTTTGGCTACAGAAAATTAACAGGGCCTCAAAATTGTCTCAAGAAACTATTACAAATTCTTAACCAAGAAATAAAACAGCTCCCCCCTAATCTGCCAAGGGGGAGCATGAGAAATAAATCAGTACAAATGTTTCATTTCACATACTTGACTGGCCAGCTGTAGTTGTTCTTGAAGATTTCTCACTATTTCTTCATCTGCAGGAACCTCAGTCCCCGTAAGCATGAAAGGAAGAGCCTCCAGTTGCTTCTCAACAGCCTCCTTCAACTCTGCATGCAACCTGAAATTGAAAGAACCAAGTTCAGTAAACTATTTCCTTAACAAGAACTTTTTGAACAACTGAAGTACCATACCTTCCATTACTACACGCTATTTACATCTAAATGGTATGTAAGTGTATTAGGTTATATTCTATAAGCATGATAAACATTTTGAAACAGTTTAATATCTAACACTTTTTAGACAGGCATATGGCTAAAGCTCCTAAATCTAGTGCTGTAACCCATATAAAGAACTTTAAGATTCTAACACTAAGCACACAAGTAAGAAATCTTCAACTATTTTAAGTAGATTTGAAAGATATCCAGGTCCTAGAGAAATGTTGTTTTAAGGTTTAGAAAAGCCCGCAGTAGTAGTACAGCGATACAATTATTTACCTTTCATTTTCCTTGGTGACTTGTTCAAATTTTAGTCTCATCTCAGCCATTTGTGCCTAACAAAAATATTTAAGAGTGAGCTCTCATTTACATGACATTTAAGCTTTGATAATTCATTCCTTCAATTTCCGTATAATACAGTAAATAAAAGTAACATTTTCTTTTGTAAGAAGAATCACAGGATGACACTTACATTTAACAGCTGCTAAGTCGTGTTAAAGTTAAGCTTGATCATTTATAAATTACTAGTAATCACCACTAAACTCAGCCTTTGAGATTCTTTTTCACTTCTTGATTTTTAATTAACTCAAGTTCTTTCAGGAATACAGAGGACAACTACCATCCAATGCACATTAAACTTTTACTAAAAAGTTTAGGAACTAAGGAGAAACTTCAGCTATATAGAAACTAAATGTACTACTTCATTAACTAAAGTAGTATAAAGCACAACACTTCCATTGCTTTCCACTTTGCTTTTTGGGAATTATCTGAAGAATTAGTAGAATTTTTTTCTTTTTCCTGCCATTTGAAAGGAGGACCGTCCCTCACCAATGATAACAGCTAAGCATTTGAAGAAGTCTGAGAGTGTCTACACTTGCAGGAATGAGCAGGACTGCATGGCCAATATCAGACCAATAAGGGCAGGAGTGGTCTCTTCAAGAGAGGCTCAGCTTCCTCATCTGAGCATCACTTGCACTGATATCAGAACGTCTAGAGAAACAGAATGCACATCGCACGATATCATTTCTCCAAACACAATCTTCTGATCGCTTTGGGCAATCTCACAATCTCTTCAAAAAAAGCTCTCCCTTCAATTTCAGGCAGATTACAGTCCATGTGAAGCATGACAAAGACACTTTACTCTTAAAAAATAGTGGTCTAAATCTTAATACCATAAAATACTGAAAATGTACAGTATGAAATAGGATAGGCTCATCCACACCTGATAAAGCTGCAGCTGTTCACTCATTTCTTCCAAGTGCTTATCATACTCTGTAATTAGAGGCAATAACAAGCTAAAAAGGGGAAAAACATGCTTAGAATACATTTTATAAATGCTGCAACACTGTTCTGATAATTAACTGGTTTTACAATATTCTTAATCTAGAGAAGTGAATAAAACAAGTCACTTCTCTGTTTTTTCATGTCTACTCCCAAGGCCAACATTCATCAGAATCTCATCAACAAATGTGAGTTTACTTTTAAAGCATGATCATTAACTGCAAAATTCCTGCACATCAAAACTAGAATATGTGACACTATAAAGCAGCATTAATACAACATTAATATTTATCCCCATTTTAATATTACACATTAATATTTTATCCACATTTTATACACAGAACACAAGAAAAACAAAGATTTAACACTGAGTTTGCTGCTTTCACATACAATAGTATTTAAGCAGCCTACAAGATAAGGTAAAATAATGCAGTTCTATTTACATACTTTTTTCTTCCTTTTTTCCTAATGTTAATATTCGACAAGTTCCATATTAATATAGAGCGATAATGCCTTAAAAGCTAACAGCTCAGTAGACAAGACAGAAAGGGAGGATTATTTTCATATTACAGAAAGAAAATTGCCGTTAATGTTAGCAATTTACTAATGGGCATATAGAAAACTTCATTTTATGTAATGTCAGGCACAGCAAGCATTTTTAAAAACACTCATCCGACTTGTTCAAACAGCAGACAATTATCTGTGCTGCCTAGATTTGTATAATCTCACCTCTACCTTTATTTATTATTTTAAAATTTACAGTGAGGAATTCCTTGATTCATCCACCATCCTTTAGTTTACAAATTGGCCGAGAAAATTCATATGCTTAATTTACCTAATAAACACAATAGTATCTAAAAACAACAGTTACAGGAAAACTTTTGCAGACATTGACAAGTCAGAACTGTGAACGCCTGTACATAAACCCAGCTTCTTCAGGATATTTATACTTTTTAAAGCACACGACAATCTTTTGGATACTCCGCAGTACTCTTATTTGAATTGCTGTTACCTTTGGCTCATCATTCTGGATCCTGGCACCGCATCGCGTTCAAGGACGTTTTTCTGCAACGGAATACTTAACATATTAATACTTACACACCGCATGCAGTTTTAGGTTTCTGTATGTCCCCCAAAGCTATTAGTCCTCTGTGCTGAAAGCATGCACAATATCCCATGCAATCACTTTCAGGTTTACATTTAGAAATTCTGGAAGGCTGCTCCAATTCGCAAAAGTTATCATTGATTCTTTTCCTGGAGGTTTCCTGAAATAAAGCACAACTGCCTGCAAGAGGAAATCAGCTCATTCTTAAAAAAAAATTACGATTTTGCCCAAGTCCTAAATTCATTTCCATGTATCTCAGCATCAGGAAAATGTTGATGCCCTAGGTTCTGCAGAGATTGTCAGACAGGCTTACAGTACTTAACACAAAAAATTATCTCCACATAAGACTAGTCTCTTAGAAAAGACAAGTCTGTAAAAGTGGAAAAGTCTACTCTGTAGAAAACAAGTATTCTTTCTGGGATACACTGCCTCTTCTGTATGATTCAAACTTTTGAAAACGTGCCCAAAACATCAGAATTCACTGTTACAGCAGTTTTATTCTCTTGCTGCTTGGTAAAACCACAAGCAACACTGGAGTGGTGCGATGAACCCACAGCTAGGCAAGATAACACTAAAACGAGCTGCAATTAATGCTGCAGATGAGCAAAGACACGCTATACCACTACAGCACAAAAATTCTTACTACTTCCATCCCTTAGTTCACAAACCTGCTCAGCAGTAGCTCTCAAAAACTTATCTGTTTCATATTGTCCAAAAGCCGCATTTAGTCTCTGATCTGAAAAATACAGTTGAAGAGAATTACATATACAGCATGAACCATTACCTAGCTTAAGCACTGGCAGTCAGACACATTTAATGATGTAGCAGGTTAAAGGCACACAACATGCTTCATAAGATTTTTCTTAGTGCATTATTTTCATAAAAATAGGAGGTGAAGAATCCTATGAAGATTGTGTTACAATAAATATTCAATTCAATTAATTTCACATTCCTTTTTCTTTTTTTGTTATTTGAAAAATAACATTTCAGCCTAAAAATCCACAAATGCATATGGCACAATATCTTAATGGCTCATGAAGCCTTGGAGTGGAAGAAATCAAACCGTGTGGCCAGTTCAATCAGCTGGATGTTTGACAGTTAACCTGCTGTTAGGAATTGGACCCTGCAGTTCTCAGTCATTTGACAAACTTAGGTCAAAAGAGCTTTACTCATAAGTGAACCTGAGCATTCATATATATCCAGAAACCCCTCCACCTCCCCAAGAATGAAGACACGTGGTTTGTCAGCATCTGCATCTTCTGAAATAAAGAAAAACAACATTATATGATATGACTTAATGAGATCTCACACTGCTGAGTGGGGAAGGTCAGCTAAGACATCAACCTTCCTTACTCACCTGAGTTTAGTTATTGGGATTTCAGAGGCTACTTGTACTACAAATGAAAGAACAGCTGAGGGATTGAAGGGAGAAAGACTAGCTTTCCTTTTATGGAGAGCGCCTTCTTCAGTCTGATAAATACATAAGACCGAGTGACACCTTTGTACGTGGAACAGGTAAAGAGGAAGAAAAGGGAAACCAAAAAGGTAATACAAATATTTTGATTTAAAACAAATCTTGCCTACTTTTTTCTTGATATACATCCCAATGGTTCTTTTCGTGGTCTTAATCCAAAGGAGGTTATGGAAAAGAATTATAGTGGGGACAGAAAACAGGTAACTTCAAAAAGATGTCAAGGAGCAGAAAAGGCAAAAGCAGCTGTCCCAGCCAAAGCAGTTTGCAGAGATGAGAGGCTATAGGAACAAAAGAGGACAACCTTAGGCACCACTTGCAGATGGGCACACCTTCCATGGACGTTCATTCAACCTATTCTGATAAAAGTTATGTTTATTCAGTAGACTATCAAAGGCACAACTAAATGGAAGAATTTTCATTTGTAGGACTGGCTACTGATAATTAAAATCATTCAGGTAAAACTCAATTTAAGACTGATCACAGTCAGGGAACAGGACCTCATTATAATGCGGCCCTTGACCACTACCTATTTAACAGGACAACTATTTACATTACAAAGCCAAATTTAGCAGTGCTTAAAGGATCTTGCTTTACATGCATTACACACATCCAGTACTTAAACTTTGACTTCACATTCATGAAACAAGAGAAACATTAATCCACGTATCAAATTTAAAGTAGGCCTCAAAGAAATTATGTTTGAACTGGCATATAAATTAATTTCAAATTTGTCACTTGGTACCTTTAAAAAGGGTATATGACTTTTCTAAGAGATAATTAAACTCAACAGAAAGGACAGCTCTTATCACCCCACAGAGGACTTGATCTGAACTTTATTTAGAGCATCAAATAATTAAGAAACTATCCCCAAATACATCAAATACATAGAAAAAGGAAAACCATAATATTTGAGCACAGACCCGATGGTTCAAAATCAGAGTTAGAGTAAGTGCTCTAGCAAAATCAAATTCAGGTTTTTGAATCAGGATGACTTAGTTGGCTCAGACACAAATTGTTCTTCTAGAGGTTCTTCTTGGTTTCTAGAGCTGGTATTTCAGCTTTGGCCACCCAAAGCTGTCATATAAAACTTAAACTTCCTACTATCAGTAGCAATTTTGAGCTTAAAGCGTCAAGCAGCCGTAGCACTTTTTGCTCTCTGATCCTGTTCCTACCTCCTGCAACGCAACCAGCTTCAGCTTTGTAACATTCTTGGGACACACCAACTCACTCGCTATTTACAGAAAGAAACTCTGCAGATGCAATTTCTGCCAGTATTTTGATAGTGATTAAGTCACATTCCAACTCAATCAATTTAAGCTTAACTTGAAGTTATCAAATTTAATATACAGAGCACGCATTTACAAATACCAGTTTCAGTCTGTTAAGTAAATCTCATGAATAACTCAAAACATGGCTCTGTTTGCCTCTCAGGTGTAAGCTAAGCATATGAAATGCAATTTATTTACTGAAGAGACATGATTACAATAGACACACGTTTCTTTGGCTATTATCCTCGTTACCTTTCAACTACAACTCCTTTACTAACTATAAAATATTTTTTGATACTGTCATTTACTCTAGCCAATACTAGAAGAATTAGAAGAGGTAACTCCTCATTGCTACAGCTGTAGGTGAGAGAGTTTCCCATCTGCATAGAAAGCGATCCCAAGCCCGGAGAGGAAGCGTCCAGGAAGCTCTCGGCTTCCCTTGCTCTGTCCTTCAAGCAGCACTTGGGGCATCCCGCAACGCCCGGGGGACAGCCGGGTACCCCACGAGCCCGCCCCCGCTCGCAGGGACCTCACCTGGCTCTCCCCGACTGCCGAGGTCTGTGGCCATGTTTTCAGCCGAAAGCTTCCCCGCAGCTGTGACTTCCCGCTCCCGCGAAAGCCTGCAAAACCCCGGGGGATAGTCGGTTATTTCAGCCGTTGCACACCCCCCGCGCCATGCTGTGCTTCGCCTCACCAGCAACTAGGTAGGCTGAAAGCCGTTGGGAAGCCGGGGGGGGG